AGACATCACTATTATTTTATAAATGTGTGGGCAGCACATCAACCCTCTGTTCATAGATGAAGAAATTAAAGCCCATTAACAAAAATGACTCCTCCAAGATCCTACACCAGTAGAACTAGTATTAGAACCCAAGTTTTTCTGACATCCAGTCCAGCTCATTAAAGATGATCCTGTTATTAAGGACTTTTTATAAACCCCCCAAAAAGAGACCAGTTAGGACTTCTAACAAAATGTTGGTAGTAGAAACAGCATGGAGTTTAGAGCTTGTGGTAGATTATTTTTTAAATGATCACAATTCCTTCCATCCCACGTGCGTCTTTATAATGTGACATTTCCACCCTTCTTATCAAGGGGTGGATTCTATTTCCCTCCTTGAGTCTTGAATGGCATCGTAACTTGCTTTAACCTGTAGTATGTGAGGGAAATGACACTGAAGGGTAGCCCATAAAAGACCGTCTTAGAACACTACCCTGAGACCACTCTCTAGCCAACTGAAGGTTGAGAGTCTATGTGCAGGAGAACTAAGGTGCTCCTTTCTCTAACTGGCACTAACTGCTGACGTGTGAGGGAGGCCATCTTGGACCCAGCTGACCCTCCAACTGAAACAGCTACATGAATTAGCCCAGGAGAAGCCCACAGAGGAACCACCCAGCCGACATGCAGAATCCTGAGAGATACATCATTGTTTTAGACCACTAACTTCTGGAGTGGTTTGTAACATAGCAAAGGCTAACTGAATCAGAACCAGAGAAACTTAGCTTGGAAAATTGGCTCCACCTGTCATGGTTTGAATTATGTCCCCCCAGTAATGTGTGTATCAATTTGGCTGGGCCATGATTCCCAGAATTGTTTGGTTGCCCTCCATTTTGTGATTGTAATTTTATGTTAAAGAGGATTAGGGTGAACTTGTAACACCACCCTTACCCAGGTCACATCCTTGATCCAAGGTAAAGGGAGTTTCCCTAGGGTGTGACCTGCACCACCTTTTACCTCACAAGAGATAAAAGGAAAGGGAAGCAAGCAGAGAACTGAGGGGACCTCATACCACCAAAAAAGCAGTGCCAGGAGCAGAGCGTGTCCTTTGGACCCGGGGTCCCTGTGCGGAGAAGCTCCTAGTCCAGGGGAGTATTGACGAGAAGGCCGAAACAGAGAGAAAGCCTTCCCCTGGAGCTGATGCCCTGAATTTGGACTTCTAGTCTACTAGACTGTGAGAGAATGAACTTCTCTTTGTTAAAACTTGTGGTATTTCTGTTAGAGCAGCACAAGATGACTAAAACAACCTCTTTAGCTGTGTTACCCTTGACTGATTACTTGACACCTTTGAGCCTCATTTGTGCTTTTCAGGATAATAGTAACTAAAAAAGTTATGAAGATTAAATGAGATAATATAGGAGAAAGCTGCATGTTGTCTGGCCCACGGTAGAGCTTAACAAACATTAGTTTCCTTGCTTTCTTCTTTGATTCTTCTCACCGTATTGTAATCCAAGCTCCCCCTTCCTCTGTCGTCTCACTTTCTGTTTATGTGCATCAGCATTCTCACAGGTTTCCCCAGCTCCCTGCTCCCCCAAATAACAATTTATTTTTTCCCTCCTGGATGATGGCCTGGTGCTGTCATTTCTCCTAACTACCAAATTTCCAGCATTCTTGTTACGCTCCAGGGAACACATCTGCCATCGGTAGTCTACCCTTAAAATAGAAAAGGGTTAACCTCATAAAGATGTCACTCCCCTTGTACTGTTATGCTGCCCTTGGGAGAGTCAAACAGCATAGCAAATATATATGGGCAATGTAATTGCATTCGATCTTCTAGGTCACAGAAGACTGTTAGCTAGTACAGCATATGGGAGAAAAAATAAGCATATTCTATCTTTAAGAACAGTGTTTCTAAACTCTTTTTTTTTTTTTGTAGTAACCGATTACTCTGTCTCTCTTTTTTTTTTCATCCTTCCCATCTTACCTCTCACAAATAAATGAATAACCAAAGAGAGAATGATATTGTGATACTATACTTGTTTACTATACTTATTAGTGATAATAGTGAGAGAGTACTGGCCTGGAAATTAGGAGTTGAAGGTCTGATACTAACTAGTAGGGTATATTATTCAAGTCTCTTTTTACTAATTACTTGAGGAGCAGTGGTAGCGCAGTGGTTAAGTGCTCAACTGCTAACTGAAAGGTCAGTGGTTCGAACCCACCAGCCAATCTGCGGGAGAAAGATACGGCAGTCTGCTTTTGTGAAGATTACAGCCTTGGAAACCCTACGGGGCAGTTCTGTTCTGTTAGATAGGGTCACTATGAGTTGACGTTGACTCAATGACAACGGGTTTGGTTTTTTGGTAATTACGTCTTGAACAAAGAATGAGGGGCTCTTGGGTCACATCTGAGGCCTCCTTTCGTGTGATATGCTTTGAATAGTTCTCTGATATTTTGCTTTTATCTTAAATATGTTTGTTGAAGAAGAATCTAGAAAAGGAGAAGTGACAAAGGCGAGACTGTTTTGCTTTTGTAAATAAAGTACTAATGAGAGCTTGAAGTAATCTTGGGGCAAAATGCAGCAGTGGCAGAAAGGGGAAAGCCCAGCCAAGTACATTACTTAACATCCTTCCTAGAAGTAATGAACAAATCACTCCATATCTGACCTTATTTCTTGGGGTTTAAGATTCCAGTATGAGAAACACAGTTGTAGGACTAGAGTTTGATTCATTAAATTTATTTTTAGAAGGAGCACTGATTTTTTCCCAGACCCTCTAACTGCACTTGCAACATTTCTGTGGGTAAAGAAGATTCCCAAATGAGTGCCCTATAAAATAATTACATGAAACATAAGCTATAAAATGAGAAGTCAAATATTACTGGAGAGTCTTCCTTCCTCAGGAATTGACAAGTGTTTCAGGTGTATACATCAGACTCTCTGTCTCGGACACGTACAATTGAAAAGTGCAAATTAATGGATCAGATTTTATATGTGTCACCGCTTCATTTTTTAAATATGTTTCCACTTTAAAAGGGAGACTGTAAAGAGAATCACTGAGAAATTGCCCTGGGGGAGGGAAACTCAATCTACTGCCTCTTTTTTCTTATCACTAAAACCCTAAGCAGGGAATGTAATCACCTATTTCCCAAGGGCAGCCCTAAGCCCTTAAAACTCAGATGTGTTTAGGGATTTAATAGAATTGGAAAAAAAAGAAATGTATTTTTTTGGAGTCGTTGGCACAACAAGCCAACAAAGGAAAATTTTCCCAACCAAATATGAACTCTAGAGCATTTCCTTGATAGCACAATCCTCACCCTCCCTATTTCTTGATTTAGAGCACAGCTCTTCACATTGGAGCTTTACAACTCCTAGAACCCTTGGAGTCTGTGCATCACACCTTAAGCTTCTGTCCAGCTCAGTGCATTTTCTTTAACAAAGCAAGATATAACTAGCATGAAGCCAAAGGGCCGTTTGGTCGCGGTTGTTGTTTCTTTTGTTTTGCAAGGTAGGCACACGCAGCTTTATTGTCTGCTAGGTTGGAGTCATAGATATAGTGACTTTTTTTTTCAGTAACTTCTAAACTCTTTAAAAATTCTTCTGTTAAGGTTTCCTGGATTTTTAGATGTAAATGTCTTGGTGTTGTGGTGTGCAACACAGCTTTTCTTTTAAAAATACTAAGATAAAGTAAGTCAGGTTGCCTTTCTTTTCAAGAGATTGGGTCTCATCTTTGCTTAGAAAATGTACCTCAGTCTCCCACCCCTACTCCACACACATGCACACATGCATGCTTTATGTACCACGATTATCCTTTCTCGTACATACAGACACAGTTGAATGCTACATGGGTGACTTTGCAGAGAAAATAGGAATGAGAAAATGTATTCAAGGACGTGGGAAAGAAAATCAGTCTTAGAGGAAAGTGCTCGAGAAGACAAGAGCATGCCAAATTACAGAAGCTAGGAAAGAGAGCATTATATCACAGTAGTAAGTGTGGGCAACATGAGACCTCCATTCTGGCCTAAGCTTTACTGCTAACTAACAGAATGAGCTTGGGGTCAGTGGAGTCCCTGGATAGTCCAAACAGTTAAGGTGTTCAGGTGCTAATTGAAAGGCTGGAGGTTCGAATCCATCCAAAGGCACCTCAGAAGAAGACCTGACAATCACTTCTGGAAAATCATCTATTGGAACACAGTTCTATTCTGACACACATAGGATTGCTATGAATCAGAATAGACTCTACAGCAACTGGTTTGGTTTTGATATTGGAGCCAGTCACTCCTCCTTCCATTCTCAGTTTTTCCATCTGCAAACCAAAAGGGTTGGATTCTCCAGCACTTTGCTCAGCTGGATTACTCTCATCATACAGGATTCATATCAAATATCACCTCCTCAGAGAGACCTGCTTGACTACCCTAAGTAGATACACGATTGCTCTCTCCTTTCTTCCCCCATCACTTTATCCCATTCCAGAGGTTTTATTTTGTTAATAACTTTTATCACTATCTGACTATATTTTTATTCTTGTGTGTGTGTGTGTGTGTGTGTGTGTGTGTGTGTGTATTTCTTGTCTTTCTCCACTGAAATGAAAGTTCATGAGACCAGGGACCGTGTCAGTTTTGTTCACTACATGTATTCCCAGCCATAGCAGTTCCTGGAACATTTTGGCTTGTCAGCAGTTCCTGGCACATTTTGGGTTGTCAATAAATATGTATTTGTTAAATGAATGACCACATTAGTGATTTTTAATCTAGAGTTGCCTTATGAGTCTTTCAGGGACAGGGGTAGGAAAGAGAAAGAGAGGAGCATGTGGCAGGACTCCAAATTCTCAGCCCTCTGTTGCATGATGCATTTAACTCATATATCTTTGCCTTAGTTTGATTTAAAACATGATTGCATTTTAAAAAGATCAGAGTTAGATGTTCTCTTAAAGTCCCTGGGTGGTTGGTGCAAACAGTTAACATACTTGGCTGCTAACCAAAAGGTTGGAGGCTAGAGTTCACCCGAAGGTGCCTCAGAAGAAAGGCCTTGTGATCTACTTCCAAAAAATCAGCCACTGAAAACCCCATGGAGGGCTGTTCTACTCTGACACACATGAGGTCGCCATGAGTTGGAGTCAACTCAATGGCAACTGGTTAGATGTTCTCTTAATATTTGAATATCCCAGTTTCAGATTATAAAGGCCAGTCTCTTGTGAATAGAAAATGTTGATGTAAGGAAAAGGATGATGGAATGTAAATAACATATATTGTGTGCCTACTGTATACTGGACCCTATGCTGGTTCCTGGGAGTCCTGGTGGCACACTGGGTAAGAGCTATGGTTGTTAACCAAAAGGTCGGCCGTTTGAATCCACCAGCCGCACTTTGGAAACCCTATGGGGCAGTACTACTCTATCCTGTAGGGTCACTATGATTTGGAATCAACTTGACAGCAATGGGCTTGGTTTTTGTTTTGGTTTGTGCTGGTTCCTTGGGCTATGGTGGTGAACAAGAGAGGCAGAGTTCTTATTTAATTGAGTTTACATTTTAATGGTGTTAGAAGAGGGACAAAGAGTAAACAAGTAAACAAATAAAGGAATAAGGTCAATTTAACTAGCGATACAGCCCCTTGTTCCTTATTTAATGTGACCGATTAGAGATTGATTTGGGTTCATTAAAGGAAAGCAAATCTGAGAGGCACTCTGGAAAGTAGAAAGGGATAACCATAAACAAACGTGTACCCTCAGAGCTGGAAGGAGGCCTCCTTTGCCAGTGCTTGCTCTGACCTTGGCCATCTGCCTGCACAGTGGGCCTCTCCTGGTCCAGGCTGTGAGCTGCTTTGGCCAGTCTGTGTGAAATGCTGATTCTGATGCTTTTAGGAGGAGAGTGGTCATGTCAGCATCTTCTGTGCCATGGATCTATTGTGATCATTTTGTTAGAAGTCACTGAGTTTTGAGAATTAAAGGGAAACTGCTGAAAGGCATATTTTGAGGGAAAAAAGAAAATATCGTAGCTCTTTAGAAGGAGAAACAGAAAAGAAACGATCAGGAACCTAGCATCAGTACAACAATGGGACAAAAGGCATAGTAGGATCTCAGGAGGCAGGCAGAAGCAGACAACTGACATCTACAGTAGTAATAATAATATCTTACATGTGCATAGCCCATATAGTCCTCACAGAAACACTGTGCCTTAGATAAGGCAGGTGGTGTTTGTTGCTGTCTGATCGATTCCGACTCATGGTGACCTCGTGTGCAGAGAGTAGAACTGCTCCATAGAGTTTTCAAGACTCTACCTTTTGGAAGCAGATCGCCAGGTCTGTCTTCTTAGGCGCCTCTGGGTAGGTTTGAACCACCAACCTTTTGGCTAGTAGTGAAGGGCTTAACCGTTTGAGCATAGTTACTGCATTTTACGTATGGGGAAATAGACTCAGAGAAAATAAGAAATGATAATAACATCTTACTTTTGAATAACAAGTTTGCAGTTTGTGGAGTACTTACATGTGATCTCAGTGTGTCCTCTGGGGTATTATTACCCCCATTTTATGGACAGGTAATAGAGACTCAAACTTGCATGCACTAACTCTACTAGCAAGCAGCAGTCTAGCCCCCTGACTCTTGGTCCTGTGTGGTAAGCCAAGCTGAGCAGCTGGGCCCCAAATTCGTAAGAGAATTTGCAACTACATAGGGACATTGACTGCCTTGAGCCTCCAGACACACACCCACACATAATTTGAAGCAGTGACTATACTAGAAACAATGGCAATCATGAATGGAATGAGGATGTCAGATACTCCGGACACATCAAATCTAGAACAAGGGAGGCCCACAAGAGAATCTTTCTTTTTTTTTTTTTAATTCAGTAATTTTTAAGAAGACAAGGCAAAGTGGGGTAACATTTTTAATTTAAGAAAGCTCACACTTTGCTACCTGCGTTTCTTGTGAGTTCACCAAGTCAACCCCCAGGTCTGGGAGAGACAGCTACGGGGTTGTTATGAAGAGAAACTTGATCTTGAATCAGAGAAGCAGATTCATTTCTGAAACCGAGATTAGCCTCTAGGTTTTCTCCTCACTGTTGCTTATTTTGGAATGAATATCATAGATGGAACTTAAAGGAGAGACTGCCCCTCTTTGCTGAGAAGTGATTTTGAATCCATTCAGATCCAGGTCTGCAACCTGGAGAAAATGCAGGGGCTCGTAATTGATGGGCTTTGCTTCAAGGCGGAGACCGTGCCTTATTTATCTTTGTATTTCCAGGGTCTACAATAGTGTCAGATATCCAGTAAGCAAGCATGTGGTGTTTGTTGAACTGAGCTGTGGCAACATGAATATTTAAAAGACCACAGCCCTTTATATTTCTGTGACTAAATGCACTTTTAAGTGCACCAAATGTGAAGCATTGATGTTAGAGGTGTACTTTTGGTTCAGCACATTTTTTAAAAACAATCACGTTTATTGAGTGCTTACCATGTGTCAGACACTCTTCTGAGTTTTTCTTTTTAATATTAATTTATATATCCTCACAATTACTTAATGAAGTATATACTATTATTTTCCATTATACAGATAAGGAAACTGAGGCATAAATGAAGAAATGTGCCCAGGGTAACATAGCCTGTAAGTGGTGGAGCTGGGACTTGAATTGAGCAGGGTGACCCCACTGTCCATGCTTCTAATCACTACTTCATACTGTGTATAGGGAAGGATAGTTACACAGTTATTATCAGGCTCCGTCTCACACATGCTCCATGACTGAGTTTGAGAGCCAGGAGCAACAAGACGTTTGAAAGTCAAAAATGATTAGAGCTAACTCGTCATCTGAAGTGCAGGTGAAGTTCAGACTGAATGCCTAGCGGCCACAGAGACAGTTGCCAATATCCTGTTTTTTAAGAGGTAGAAAGTGCCTGAACATGTAGAGATTATGAGTGACAAATATGTTTCAACTCGCATGCCACGGTAGGTTGGCAGTGGCCACCTACAGGGCTGGGTGGAGGATTCTAAGGCAATATTCAAGCTCAGTGGGAAAGAGTGCTATGGTTCATTATCGATATCTGCCATGGTCATAAGAGAAGGCAGTGTGGCTGACAGGTCCCTGGGATGGATTTGTCAAAGAGTTCAGGAACGCAAACTTAGAGCATCTTGAATATGAATTCCTGGTGAAATGTTAACTGTTCTCATAGAACAGGACCTCACTACACTGTAAAACCAAAGCTGTTGCCATTGAGTCGATTCTGACTCATAGCAACCCTACAGGACAGTGTAGAACTGCCCCACGGGGTTTCCAAGAACAGCTGGTAGATTCAAACTGTCGGCCTTTTGGTTAGCAGCAGAGCTATTAACCACTGTGCCACCAGGGCTCCCATTACACTGTAAGTGGGCCTTAAATCCATTTACAGAATAAGCTTGGGTTTAAATCGGTTAATTGACTTGTTTGTAAGTAACTCGAAGATGGGTACATTCCATGAAGAGCATGGATGAGGTGACTGATGCTTCTTTAGTATTTTGTAAAGTCAAGTACAAACTGAGCTTGACTTCCTCTCCTGTTTGCAACCAGACTGCCCTCCCTAAGCTGTTCTTACTTGGAAATTCTGGAGGTATCATTACTCAGGATCAGCATTCTGAAGGAAATCTTCTTTGGGTAGAAATGGAGATAAGAACAATGTAGGAATAAGCCAAGTGATGCCCAAAACTTAAGTGTGATCACTGGACCTTTCTTCTGTAAATCAAATCCTGCTCTAAGCTGCCTTTTAAAAAAATCAGCAAATATATATTTAGCTATTATGCTCCAAGCCCTACTCTAGGCACCAGAAATGGAGAGTAAATGAGACAAGCTACTGTTCTCTTACAGAGTGCTTTCTTTGTTATGTTATGCTAAAAGATAAGTGATACAGCTTCTTGAGTTTGTGAACTCCCTGAAATTGAATGCAAAATTTTGTGTGATGGCACATATGCATTTTCAACGTGGACATGTTTTATAGTTTTGTCAGATTCTTCGAGGGTTCCGAGGCCCAACAACCTTAAGCAGAGGCCTGCGAGGACAGGGAGAAGAATCTCCTGGAATGGAGTTAGTGTGATTCTTCAATCTACACAGAGAAGTTAAGCTCTAGAGATCCAAATATTCCCATTCTCTGTGTATCTGTTCATTCTAGTTTTAGGAGTGTGAACAGAAAGAATGTCGCTTTCTTCATGGCTAAGATACTTCCTTTACCTTGGACGCTTGTTATCTATTTTATTATCTGTCTAGCTTGTTATCTATTTTATTATCTATCTAAGCATTTTCTTCTTTTCTAAAAGGCAAGCATTCCTTACGTAGCAGCTGAACTCTTTTTACTCTGTTTGGAAGATTAGGTTTGAACCCAGCCCAGCAACTTTTTATTTTGTGTTTCACTCTGAGTGACCTCCCAGCCTTTTCAGGCTTCCTTCTCTCCCACCTTGACCTCTAACTCCAAATTTATGTCTCCCTGTCACTGGGGGAAAACTTCTTGATGGACGGGATGGAGCTTCGTCTTGAGGATTTTCATTATAACACTGACTATTGTTAGCAGTGCACTCCAGCCTGCTAGCGTTCATATTTTGGCAGTGGACCATCAAACACCCTATTTTTAAGAGCCTTTAACTTAGTTGTAAACATGTGCTGTGACTGGGAGCTCACTTTCTTTATTCATATTTAACCAACGTGGTTTAGCTGTTGAAAAGTTGTTAAAAAAAAAAAAAAGCACAGACTTCAGGACTGTTTTTTCCACTCATCTAACTCAAAGCTGTGCGTGATCTCAAAAAGAAAACTTGGCATTAAGTGCTTTATTTGATGGTCCAGTCATATTGGTAATTCGAGGGGAGGAAGAAATGAAACTGCTGGGTCATTTACAAACACGCATGGAGGGAATGGGCCCAGTGATGGCTGCCGTCCATACATACATGATGGGCAAGAGTCGCTCAAAGAGAGGCAGGCCAATATGCCGCATAAGTTATTTATGCCCTTAAAATCGTCTATATTTAGAATAAAAACTTATCATAGACATATTTCCCACACACTCTAAATTGTGGAGACTTTATTAATCCCATTAGGAGAACATAAATAATGTCGCAAACTTTCAGCGTCCAGCTTGCACATGTACAGATGTTTCATTGATGTCGGAGGACCTTAAAAATAATATACAGAAATTTGGTGAAAGAAAGAGTATCACAAATACTCCTTTTTCTTTAATCTCTAGAAGGAATGTAGGCGAGTGTAACAAAGCATATTAATGTTTTGAAGAGATTGTGACTTATAGTACTGGAGCAGGAGCTGGAGGAATTTAAATGTTAAAAGGAGAGTTTGAACTTTGATATCTTCCTCTCGTGATTTAAGATTCTAAAAGTTAACGTCGGGCAAAATCTTGTACTCTGTCACTGGAGAAATACCAGCTTTTCCACAAGCGTTTAGAATTTCTTGAAACTATTTGCAGCAGAACAGGGCAACTGTGCTTTGGAGACTGGCTGCATCTGTGAGGTAGGAGAGAAGAAGGTCCGGGAACATGTCATTTCAGGGGCCTTGAGCCCAGTCGGCATCCATGTGCTGTGGAAGTACCACGGCCTGGAAATCCTCTGATTAAATGATGAGTGTGTCTCTTTTCCACACCGATCCTGTTTGAAGGCGCCTTGCCTCGGTGTTGTTTTTACCCCTTGGGCTGCTTTTTGATGTTGTTTTCCTCCCCACATCCGAGGCAGATGAGCACCAACACAGGCCAGCACATGGCTTCCACATGTTCTCTCCCTCCACCCTGAATGGCAGTGCTCTGAAGACATCGGCGTTCTTGGTCCTTGTCAGGTAATAATATGTTGTCTTACTGCTGAGCTTCCTGCTCTGGCTTGTAAATCATTCTCCTTTTCCAATGCTTTCAAAGACAAGATCCTTCTGGTGGTAGGGGGCATTAATTCACTACAAATGCTGGCTAGTTTATCTCTGGGGCATAAGAAATTCACTGCAAACACACACACAGAGATACGCACACAACCTTCACAAAGTCCTCCTGATCCCATCTTCTTAAAATAGAAATGAACTGAATTCTATGACAATACATAAATCTGGTGATTCACAAGATGATGTCTCCATGCCAACAGAAGGTGAGGAGGGGAGAATTGTCCACTCTGCTCCTTCTGGTTAGATCTGCTCTGGGCTGGGACTGGAAGTTCTACCAGTGTCATCTCCAGAGTCAAGAAAATGTGCTACCATCTTGAGTTTCTGTGAACTTGGGTATACCAGAGAGCAGGAAAATGATCTCAAAATTATGTTCTTTGGTCAACTGAATAGGGTTGCTTTGGGGTGGTAGTAGTACTTACAGTAGTACCATTTGCAATGACTCCCTTCTCCCAGCCTCCCAGAGTGTCATCAGACCTTTGATTTTACTTCAGTGTTAGGTTTGGGGTGGGGCATTAGTTGACAGGTGACACGAGCAAATCAATATACCAAGGAGCTAATTCCACGTTACTTCTTTTCTTTCCCCTGTCGAGCTACAAGTAGTTTATTAATTTGTCTTAAGACACCCATATGGTGGAAAAAGCATCATTGCTGTCTAGTTTGAATGCTTCTTATCTCCCTGGCCATCGTGGCAAGCTCCCTGTAGCTTCTGTAGGATGAGCCAGTGACTTTCACTGATGAATGTTCTTTGCATGACTTTTTGAGTGAGGAACCACTCTGTGTACTTTTCCAAATTCAGAAAAATCCCAGCTGATTTCCACTGTGGGCTAGCCTTCTACAGCTGAGCTGTGATATGCTTATTGACTTCCTGGCACTTACTACAATCCCAAAAGTTATCTAATTGTTTTTTTTTTTTTTTTGTGAGTTATGATTTTTCCTTCAGAATAGAATGAAATCTCCTGAAAAATTAAAATAGAATCAAAACTACTTTCATGTCAGCAGGAAAATTTTCCCTAAAAGTTCACAAAAATACCCAGACCTGTATCTCCTTCAGAATAAACACAAAATCATGTCATATCTGTGCCCTCCTGTAGCTACATCTGTGCTTAACTCTTCAGCAGACAGCACAGAAAAAAGAGAACATGTAGATCATAAGAACACATTTTATACTTGTATGTTAAAAATTCTCAGGAGGGAAAGAAACAAGCATTTGCAGAATTAAGCTGTTCAAATTCCCTAAATGCATGATTTTTTTTTTTTCCCAAAAGTTAGGCTCCAATTGCCATATTAGGAAGATGATATGATTAGTTCAATGTGTTAATTATCTATTGCTGCTTAGAATTCAGCAGCTTAAAATAACAAACATTTGTGATATCACACAGTTTCTAAGGATCAGGAATCCAGGAACAACTTAGCTGGATACTGCTAGCTTAGGATTTCCCACAAGATTGCAGTCAAGCTATTAGCTAGTGCTACAGTCACCCCAAGGCTCAACTGAGATGGAGGATCTGCTTTGAAGTTCACTCAGACCTCAGCTCCTTGATGGCTGTTGGCCAGAGACCTCAGTTCCTTGCCACATTGTCCTTTTCATAGGCTGTTGGAGTGTCCTCAGTTATGGCATCTGACTTCTGTAGAGAGAGTGATGAGAGATGGAGAGACACCCCAGTATAGAAGCTGCAGTGATATACCATAACTCCTGTCATATTCTATTGGTCTCATAGACCAACCCTGATACAGTGTGGGAGGGGACTATGCACGGGTGTGAATACCAAGAGGTAGGAATCGTGGCGGGAGGGAGTGCAACTTAGAGTCTGTTTAACACATTAATGAATAAACCTTGGCCAATAATCCAGGTTACCATGTCCCCTACTATGATATTAAGGTAGATTACATCATTGATTGTTCTGAAATTAGACCATTTATTTATTTATTTTAATTGTACTTCAGGTGAAGGCTTACAGAACAAATAGTTTCTCATGAAACAGAAGTACACATGTTGTTTTATGACATTGGTTAACAACCCCACAACAT